TGCTATGCAATTGGGGTGGTATGGTTCAAAAATACAAAACAATTAACCTAACACAATCCATATCCAGATTCGGTATCACTTATCCTAAAACTAATGCCTAGTAGATCCTTCGATACCCAATGAAATTGGGGTCTAAAGTAAAATTTATAAATAAAACCATATTAATATTTAATATAATAATAATAATAATAATAATTAAATATTAAATTGTATTCATTTGAAATATATATTTTTTGTTTTTCAATTCGAAATGAGTAAATAAAAATTAAGTTGTGACATTTTAATTTTTTTTTTTTCATATAACATTCTCGATAAACAATACAACTAAATCATTTATAGATTTCTATTTATGGGTCTTATTTATTAAACATAAAATTTTCTAATTGAGTTATATTCTTATGGGGTCTTTTTGTTAGGACTAAACACGTTATAAATGCAAAATTTTGATATGGAATATTAATACACTCAAAAATTTGGGACCTTCAATCTGAGTGGGGGCCCAAGCCTAGAGCGTAGTAGTTGGGCTGCCCCTGCTTGGATAAGGTTGATGTTTTTATTTAAGTTACTTCTTGAATTGTGATCATAATACTTTAGTTATTGTCAATCTCCAAAACATCTTTGGTTGAATGTTCACATCTAATTCATTGTCTGAACTTTTTACATTCACTCCCAAAAATTAAACTTCCGATCATCTGCTATAGTCAGCCTCACGTCCCTATAATACCGTGTGATCGATTGTTGAGCTTCAGCTGTTAATAAAAAGAAGCATTGGTTGATAATCTGGCAAAGTGATTGGACATTTGCGATTGTCAACAACAATATCTAAAAGCTTTTGGTACTTTTAACCTTTTACTACCCTATCTAAAATAATTCTCAACCATTCATCTCGTTTTATGTTATTTATAATCATTAATTGCAAAAATTAAGAACACGGTGTATGTTAATTCATAATGTGTTTGTGCTTTGATACATAAGCAAATGATTATTGTTTTATATCTCTGTTACTATTGTGTCACTTAACTGTTCAAAGATCGATCGTTCTTACTTGACGCAGTGGCCATTTTTTACCTGATGTAATATAACAAGCCCAAATGTTTCACATGCGTTGGGTAGTCCATCTTCAAATGTTTGAAATTGAGAAATACGAGTTAAGGAGGCTAAAGAGTCTTCCGGTAGTGTAAACGTGCAGATTTTGTGGGATGTGAGGTATGTACAAGTAAATTATCCATAGAAATTGAAGAACACAGGAGGTTCAGTAGTTCATTAGTTGAAAAGTTTAACTAGTTCATTCTAATAGAATCTTTCGCTCTTAGGATATGTATTGCTTGGTAAGGAAGAAAACAGTTACAGCATTTTGACATGCAATTACTCATATCCCTTGGTACAAGGCAAGGGTTTGCCTATTTATATTAACTAATAGAATAGTCCTCAAGCAATCATGGGTTAGTACCCTTGTTTGTTAAGATGTAGGAAGAAATATATAGTCGTTAAAAGTTACATTTCCTTAATCATGACATGACATTCTAGAAGGTGGTGACATGATATTTACTCTTTGGGTAGGGTTTGATGTTGTGCTTTACTCTTTATAACTCTTCTTCTTGTGGATTAAATTGATTTAGACTAGTCAAGCTTGTTTGGAAATAATTGAACTGGTTTCAATTGTGACCGAGCTGGACTGTCTTGACCCCTTACTTGCGGGTCGATTGCTTGGTACCTAGAGCTAATGATCCCTCTGCTATGCTGCCAATCTGTCTTATATGACGATTTTAATCTTGGTATCATCAAATGACATTTACATTTAAAGGTATGATTGTGTGTATTGTCAAACATGCCCACTAGGTGACGGAACGTAGTTGGACTCCCCATTAATTTTAAAAAATTCAAGTTTCAATAGTAGTCGCTCTCACATAACATATTAACCTCTACAATTTTAGATTGAGGGTCTACCTTTTGTCTCTAAATTACCTGCTTCCCTTATTTGGATTGGGTACAATTAGGCCTGTTAAAATTCAACATGATATAATTAATCGAAACAAATTAAGTGGGTTTGGGTGAGACCTTAACGAATTCGGGTGATAAACGAATTGATATGATTAACACGTTTAATAAACAGGCCGTGTTCGGGTGAGATATGTCAATCCGTTTACGCGTTCAAATAAAATTAATATAATAATAAATTAATAATTATTTTTAAAAAATTAACCAAAAAAATTTTTTTAGTGACAACCACGTAGAAAATATATAAAATTATATTTCCCTAACCCTAATCTAATTTTTTCATCGTTGAACGGCTGAAGCCTTGTTGCGTCTCCACTCTTCTGCTCCTCTTTTTCTCTCTCCCTCTTGCTCGACAGCAACTCAGCAAGCTGCAAACAGTTGTTGTCTTGGACTCTTGGGCCAGGCTGAGTCGCTGACCACGAAGACTTCGAGCAAAGACATTTCAGATCTTAGACAAGTGAAAATAGGTACTAAATCTCTGTTATACCCTTGTGTTTGTTTTGTGTTTTTTATGTTTATGATGGCTGATCTGAAACGGGGTGTATTTTGTTTTGGTGGGTTTTTGTTTGTTTTGCCGGACTTGTTCTGTAGTAGTGTGTTTTGGGGGTTTTCACATAAAGTGTGTTTTGGAGGTTTTCACATAAAGCGATTTTTCTACCTCTTCTTGTTCTTGCGAGGGCCTCTTACTTGATAAAACTTTGTTTCTGAGAGAGAAATCCACTGTTTTATCTTTATCATTATTTTCTCTAGGCTTTTTATTTTCATTTTCCTTTCTTCCAAACACAATTTTCTAGGTATTTTTTAGTGGTTCTGGGTGTTGGGTTGAGGGGTTCAGTTTCCTTTCTTCCAAACACAATTTCTAACTCAATTTTTTGTTTTCTATTATGGTGTTGGGTGTTCGGGGTTGCTGAGAAAATACAAGGAAGATCAAGGGTGGGTGTTCTGGAGATTTGATCTATTCTGGTGTTGGTTGTTTTGGAGTTTTGATCTCTTTCACAAGATTTTGTGAATTATGGAATATGGCAATTTTATGAATCATAAAATTTGTGGTTGTTTGACATTGTAATTTGTAATATGATTGTTATTTGGTGTAATTGTGTTATTTCGGATTATATTTATGAATTGTAATATGCTTGTTGATAGAATTTGGTTATTTTGGATTGTAGTTTGTACTTTGTAATATGGTGTAATATCTCTTTGTTAGGTTTATAAAGTTATATAGCATTTTTAAATAAATGGATAAATGAGTCAAACAGGTGGTTTATCGTGGTAACCCGACCCGACCCTACCCAACCTGACTCGTTTAAAATTAGACATGTTAAACTAGTCGTATCGTGTTACCCATTTATTAAACGGTTTGTGTTAGATTTTTTACCCGTTTATTAAACGAGTTGTGTATAAGTTTACATGTTTTTTACCTGTCACCTGTTTAACCCGACACGTTTGACACCCTTAAATACAATTTCTCATGACATTAATGATTAAAGAATCTTTCAATTAGATTGAAATTTGTTGTGTGTCTTATTTCCAGTTCCAGTAAGAAATTGATTTAAACTTTGTTATCTTTAGAGATTTAGAATGGTGGATGCCTTAGAATTTCACTTCGAATAAAAGACCAATTAGAAATCCTATTATATTAGGAGATAAAGTATTTTGTGTCTATAAATAGATTATAGATCACTCAGTTTCTTTTGAACTAGATTTTGACCTCCAAATTTGGGCATCCATGATCCATGTTTGGCTGTATTCTCTAGGTTAGAGGATTTTGTGTAATATCCCTTTGTTAATAACAAAGCTTTGAAGCTACGCTTCGCCCATGGATGTAGGCTTTCAAGCTGATTTACATAAATTTGTGTTCTGTATTTTTCTATTTTGTTTCATTTGATTTGTGTGTGGCCTTTGTTCATAATAAACTGATATCAGAGTTTCGGTTACGAGTTGGCTACAACAAAATTTTATGTAAAAAAATTTGGTGTTTAGAACAGTTTTACTCTATGGTGAACTCAGATATATATATCGTTGCTTTGACAGAATGATTTTACAAAAACTCTTAATCAAACATTATGATTGCCACTAATAGAGATTCACGAGATTTGTGGATGCTTATTAGTTGCCACTAATATTTGCTATTCTAGAGAAGACAATAGGTTTTATTCACTTTTGTTTTGGTGACTTGGTAGGCATACAAGTCAAGGTAGAGATTTATTATGGATGCTTATAATATTTGTATTCCTTCACGAGATTTGTGGAGAAGGCAACTATATCATTCGTTTTTGTTTTGATGGCCTGATGGAATAGAAGTCAAGAATACAAGTCAAGGGGGAGATTTTTTATGAGTGTCTTGTATTCCAGTTCTAATAGAAAATTGATTTGAATTTTGTTCTCCTTAGGGATTTAGAAAGATGGATGTCTTGAAATTTAGATCAAAGACAAATTAGAAATCCTATTATATTAGGAGACAAAGTATTTTGAGTTTATAAATAAATTATAGACCACAAAGTTTCTTTTAAATTTTTCTCCAAATTCAGAGGATTTTGACCCTCAATTTTGAGTATCCATGTTTGGTTCTATTCTTTAGGTTAGAGAATTTTGTCTAATTTTCCTTTATAGATAGTGAACATTTGTCGCTGCGCTTCGGCCGTATATGTAGGCTTTCGAGTTAATTCATCTAAATTTTTTTATTTCGTTCTGTTTATTTATTTGTGACTTTTGTTCATAACAATATTTTAATTTACATTTCTCTAACATTACAAATTGTTATTGATTTATTAGAGTTTTTATTTTTGGAAGGCAAATTAATGCTATTTTCATGTAAGGAAACAATATTATGGACAATGCATCCTAAAATAAATTCTTGAAGTTAAGATTAAATAAAAACTCTTTGATTCCAAATACAGCTGCATGTATGCACTATAAATAGACATGAAACATATACAACCCTCCATAGTACTACAAACAAAGCTTTCTCACAAGTCATCTACTGGTTACCTCTTTCCAAAAAGATGGCCAGAAGTCTCGAGTGTACTCTCACCCTTTTCCTGGTTTTTCTGCTGTTTGGATCTTCATTTTTCGAAGCTCGTCCACTAGATGTTTCTAAGCCTCCAAACAACATTGAGGAAGCAATGGAGGAAGTCTTGAAAGGTTCGAATTTTGAAGTTAGCAAAACTAAAGGCACAACTGCTCGAACCCTAGTGCAGATTAAGGAGGCTGGCCCGAGCCCTCCGGGACAGGGACATCATCAATCTCCACATGGACCACCTCCAAGCCCTGGTCATGGAAATTGATTAGTTTTGTTATTTCTTATACTGCCATGCCCATTGATTCCATAGGTAGCTATAAGTTTATTGTCTCTCTCTCTGTCATACCATGGAGCTCATACATTTTCAGATATTAATAAAACGAGGCATAGGTTGATTATCTGTACTAGTTACCATATATTTATTTATCATCTCAAAAATCTAGTTTGTTAAACTTGGCCTGACGTTGATACTTTTGTCTTAGGTGAGTGAAGTGACCTCCATGAAAAGAAAGACGCTAATAGAATCATAAAAAATCTCGAAAAAGGCAAATTATCAGAAAGTTTCTAACTGACTGGTTTATGACTGGCAGTAGTAAAAAATTTTGTTCTTCTTAAGAATACCAAAACATTCTCTAGTTAAGTTCCCATAAAGGTTTCTTATTTAATGGTAAACATGCAGAAAATTTGAAGAATAGAATAACATCGTTCACATAATCAACTTCCAATAAACTTTTTTCTCATTAATTTATACTTCCATACAATAAACAAGCTTTCTCTAACCTCCTTCCAAAGAGAGCCGGAAGTCTCAAGCGCCTCACCCTTTTCACCATTTTTCACCTTTTCAATTGCTCATTTTTCTTGAACGAAGCTCGACAACTCAATTGCTGCTCAATCTCATAGCTCCGTAAAGGATTCTATCAAGATGGTCTTAGGTGATTTGAATATGGAAGCTAGTAAAACTGAAGGCAAAATCACTGAGGGCTTGTTTGTTACAAGGGTTTGGGCGAGTCTATAGAGGAGGTTTAAAAAAATAGTTCAATCCATTGTCATAGTCCATGTTTGGATGCTCTTTTAAGACTTGAGATTTAAACAGACTCAGATTCTCTCAAACCCATGTATAAGGGTTTCATCAAAATCAGTCCAATCCTTCACCCAAATTCCATCCAAACATGCTATGAGGGAAAGGGATATGAATCTGCAAGTGCCCTTACCCTAGGGCAGATTATGGAAATCACCCAAGCCCTCGTGGCGCGGGACACCAAACTCCGCCACCCCTGCTTTTTGAAAATAGTTTTGTTGATTCTTACTAACATGCCCGTTGATCCCCATGGGCAGCAGTCAACTCATTTTGTGTTTGTAATACCATGGAATCTCTTGCTCAATTTCAGAGATTGATTAAAAGAAGCATCATTGATTATATCTCTTACATTTAACATTTATGTTAAATGATCAAAGGCCACAAATAAATAATAACGAAACGTCGCGGTTCGACTCAACAAGTATGTGTCCCCGAACAAAGCACAGCGACAAGATCTTATTATCAAATGTTAGAGGTTATAAAATTCTTGAAACCAAAAGAAGGAGAGAACTTCCACCTGCTTTATTCTAATAAGACAATATTTATTGAATTAATAAAATAGAGCAAGACCCAATTTTTTTGAAGAGAAGTCATCAACTTCGTCCTTGTTGAGAGCAACCTGTTGAACACCTCTCCTAATTTTCAAGTCTCTGGACAAACGGAAGAGAATTTCTTTTAAGGGTTGGCACCACTAAAGTCAAAATCCAAGCAAGTTCAACTAGGACATAAAAACCTATTGACCCATTCAACCCAAAAAACGTGTCCTGCACATTGCTAAACTATAATTGAGATAGTTTCTAACCCAAACATTTATACCACTGTCGTGATTAGTCCTCTGCTCTGACCCAATTCCATTGGAGGCTGGAAAAAGGACACTCTTTCAGAAAATTCCACCTGAATGATTATTCTCATGTGACTTAGGTTATTTTTTATGAAAGCTCGTTTTGAATTATTTTCTAAGTAAGGTTAGGCAGAACCGTTGTTGCCTGATGGGAACTTCTCCCATATTGCTATCAATGTCTTCATGTCGCACGACCTATCCCAATTAACTAATTGACGGGCTTGTGGCAAGAAAAAATAGTCGAATGACTAGGCGAAGAATGTTATGAGGTGCAGGTAGTGATGAAGAAAGTTGGCCAACAAACCGATCATTCCTTATCAAAGGCCCAGCAAAAGACGTAACTACGTACCTCGGCCTCGAGATGAACTCCGGTGTTGAGGCCCGAAGATTGGAAATTCAACCAATCGAGCTCCGTTTGATCTTCCAGAAGCGGAAGTTGAATCAATTGCAGGTTATAATGTAGAATATGCGCGAGATACAACCCTCCTATTCTCAATTGGCCGCATGAGAAATCCTCCATATAAAAAATTCAAATAGACTTGAAATACAAGTCATTAATAACAATTTATTTGTTTGCCATCCTTAAAAAACCATGGCTTTTTAGATTTGGCCTTGGGACATTAGTACTTTTGTTTTGTGATATACTAATAACATGGCAAAGGTTTTGTGAAAATGGGGTAAGGGGATTGGTAGTTTTTAAGTTTTTTAGATTCGTCATAGCTAGAAGTTCATGTCTGTGGCAAATGTAAAGTAACATTATGGTTAATGAAGTGTACAATATTCGACAAATACACATGACCACCAATCTCCTTAAGCTTGTATCTTTCAATTAACAGTATATATTCATGATGACTTTCGG